GTTACTAAAAAATTGACTGCACTTAGAGTTCCCTCCAACAGTTATTAGGGTAAGGTAAAATGATGATTAAAGGAAGTGGAAAAAGAAACGTGATTTAAATCATGTTCAGCTCTGTTTAATCAAATATGAGTTAGTGTGTGGGTGCCTAAATTTCCCCCTCACTGGGAAAGAAATTTTGTCACTATTCTGATAATAACCGATTTTTGATACACACACAGTGTTGCTAGAAGAGCGTAAACACTTTCCTTAAGTACGCTTTTACCATATTGTTTGCATCTGATGTCGTCTGTTTGGCATCAAGCGACATTTACCGCTATTACGTTCTGACATATCAACCTGCATTTCGAAAGGTGAGAACAAAACTTGCATTTTGGATTGGCAGGGATGATGGTGGGCGCATTGTGTGCCATCACAGGAGTGTTGACAATTGCCCTTCCAGTTCCCGTCATTGTCTCCAACTTCTCCATGTTCTACTCGCACACACAGGCGCGCTCAAAACTGCCCAAACGGCGACGTCGTATCCTGCCCGCTGAGCCGATTCGCGCCAAACATAAATCGTCCTCCGAGTTCACTCGAAATGGCCATGCATCCTGTCGCCGCCTATCTCCGGCTTTGGCTGCTAGCCTCCCCAATGCAGTGCTGTTGAATCGTCGCTTGGAGAGTGAGCAATTTTACTTGGAAGCTGTTAAATTTTCACTTCTAGTTAAAGGCCCCACCCTCTTTATCTGGCTACCATTAACATTCATATAGACAATCACTGCATAATATGAATGAACACGAATTAAATTGCACCTTTCCAAGTACTTAGTAGGGATGCAAAAAAGGTTGAGATGCAGGACACACTGCTAGGAAATATCCCTAAGTGAAAATTCAAGTGACAAATCCCTAGATGTAGTTTTAAATGCTCTGCAGAAACCAGTAGCGCTTCGGTGCATTGCGGTTCTCTTTTCTTAAGCACAATTCTTAGGGGTATCTGCGATTAACCTTTGCAATGACTATGACATGGAATTTTATTTCTAAGCACTACTCATAGGATTAAATTTGCAGTTATCCATTAGTTTGTTAGTGAAAAGGGAACCACACTGTCTTTAAACAGGCAATTAATCTCGCTGATTCCATAATATAGCAACACTGTCCTTTTCCTGTCAGTGTGCCTCACAAGAGTTTAAGCTTCTTCATGGCGAGTACATTTTAATTCATCGTCTGTGCTTGCGAGAAATTAACCCAGGAGTAAATCCGCCTAAGAAATGAAATACCTCAAAGCGGCAAAATGAGCCGCTGCCGTTTATTTGCTTTTCACCACTTAATTCACATTTCTGTGCTCCTCAACAATTAGTCTGGTTATAAAGCAGCCACTCGAGAAGTAAGAAACGGTTTCAGGTGGGTAATTTTCATAAATTATTTCAGTGTGGCAGGACTTTGGTTGTTAATTGTCCTCCTAAAGAGTATGAAATTGGAATGATTGGCAAAAGCTGGCTTTATTGACTTCATCGGTTGCTGCACGGCCGCGACGTTGAGGTCGGGTAATCGGCTACAGAAAGAAGGCCGTAATTGTTCCCTCCATTGCAATTCAGTGCTGATACCATCGTTCAGAATTAGTGTATCGGGCGACCATAATTTTGTGCGTTCTATGACATCATCTGATCTTAAATGTCAAAAGAATCGTGTGATTTGCTTAGGACAAAATACCAAAAATAAAATTCAGCAATGTATGACTAACATGCTGACGAGACAATACTCCCAGCCCTGTAATATTTGACGGAGAATAGTCATGGTTGCCAAACCCAACAAATGTGCTCCCTTTTTTACGCACATTCCATTAGAACGTGTGGTTATGCTGTTGCTTTCTGGTCCACCGATTTGGAATGGAAAAGGCAATTCGTTTTACTTCTCATCAAGCAAGGGTAATATTATTAATCAACGCCAAATGCTGCACTTACTGCTTTTCTCAATTATAAGGCATACGTCATATTGTCCATAAAATGCTTCCTTAATTTTGCGTGTAATTTTGGCAAATGGCTGACACAAGAGTCCTCTCGAAGCTGTTCTCTCTCAAATCTTAAAAAACCCATGTAATGTAAGGAAATCTCTTCTATTGAATAACACAATGTCATAAATCGCAGGCCAAAATACAGGGAATATTGCTTGTCCTCATTCCACCTGTAATTAAGTTTTCCTGAGCTTCTTCTACCTG